GTCCAGCATGGGGCAGTATTGGACCATTACAGGCCGAATTGACTCCCATTATATGAATTTTGGAATAAAGTTTAAACATTAATATTTCAAAAACTACAAGTTGTACAGACACCAAAAAGCATAGCCTACATTTGGCACAGGACCTTTACAGATAGAAATTACAATGGCAGCTGTAGGACAAAGTACGCAGGAGGAGTAGCATGGCATGGCAAGGTGGAAGAAGACGGAATAATACATTGAATAAAAACTAGACACGGGTATTTACGATGTAAAAACAAGTGTGCATTGCCATGTAGCATCGGACTTTGACCAAGTTCAAATATGGTTTTGAAACCAGCTTGTGCCTGTCACGTCAGCAGGTGTTTTTAATTAAGGTAATTGAGTGATAATATGAAGTAGGAGATTTTTTTATTTAACATTGCATTAGCTGGGTTTTGAACCCTGACCTCCCTCATGAAAATCCATGACATAGACCATTAGACCAGTGGAAGAAGGTGGTGTTAGGGGTTGGTTTGCATGTGTGCAGAAAGAGGCCACATTGCCAATACAATTATTGACACTAAACTGCATAATATTACAACAATAGAGCAGTATAAAGACAATTTTATAGTAAAGCATGATAATAAAATCATATTATTATAAACACTGAATTATTGAGTGTAATGGTGTGTCAATGCAATCTGAAAATATGTAGTTTAAATGAAAGTGTTTGTTCATAGTTGGAATTTAACCCTGCTGTCCTACATGAAAGCCCATGTCATAGACCATTAGACCATTAGTGCTGTGGTAGAATGTGGTGCCAGGGGTTGATTTGTATGTATGCAGAAAGAGGCCACATTGCCATTGAGGTAAAATATAAAAAAAAACTATGGTGCAGTTCCAAGTTGAGTACAGCTGGGGGCAGTATTGGAACATAACAAGGCCCTATTGACTCTCATTATACAAATTTGGAATAAAGTTTAAACATTAATATTTCGAAAACTACAATTTGTACAGATACCAAAAGGCATAGCAATCATTTGACACAGGACATTTACAGATAGAAATTACAATGGCAGCTGTAGGACAAAGTATGTTGGAGCATTAGACTTGCAGAATGAGCTTTGACCAAGTTTAAATGTTTTTTCTAAACCAGCTTGTTCCTGTCACATCAGCAGGTGTTTGTAATTAAGGTAATTGTGTGACAATATAAAGTTTGAAGAGATTTTTGTTAAAGTTGCAGTAGCTGGATTTAAACACTGATCTCACGCATGAAAGCCCACAGTGCTCATCATGAGACCATAGGAGATGTGGCAGTGGACAATCCCAGGGATTGGATTGTATGTATTCAGAAAAAGTTAACCTTGCCAATGCAATTTTTGACACTTAAGTGCAATATATTACAGCAATAGGACAACATAAAGACAGTGTTACAGTAAAACATCAATACAATCATATTAATATTGTAATCACTGAACTACTGAGTTTGAATATTATAAAACTATGGTGCAGTACCATATTGTGTAGAGGCAGCAGGGGGCAGTATTGGACCAATACAAGGCTCCATTGACTGCTATTATAATTC